AGAACTTCTTCATTTCTGGCACAGCCGTGCTCTGGCTCTGCTACCGGATACTGATCAGCAACTTCGTTCTGTACCAGATCCAGCTCTGCGACGTCTACTTCGCGACGTCCCCGACTACGTTGATCTACAACTTGGTCTTTGCACCCATGTCGCTCTCTACGACGAGTTCTTTGCGGCCGTTGACTGCTCGGACAACGAACTCCTCCGCAGCCTCCGCTCGGGTTTCCCGATCGTTGGCGAGATCCAGCGGTCTGGTCGGTGGCCGCCATTCAGCAAACCACAAAAGCCGGTGCCTGTTCAAGAGGCGCTTGCACGGGCCTGGGAGATGCGCGCTAAGGTCGTTCGCAGATGCCGCTCGGTTCCGATTTCTGATAATCTAAGGTCCCTCTGGGAGTCCACGCTCGAGGACGTCAAGGAGGCCTCCACGGTGGGACCCTTCGGATCTGAAGAAGAGGTTTCCGAGTTCCTGGGGTGCTCTGACTGGATCCCAACGCAGAGGTTCGAGGTCGTGCAGAAGAACAAGGTTCGTGGTTGCGATAGCGCTACGTCGAACCTCATTAACCAGACGGCCGTGATCACGGAGAAGTTGGAGCTCACGTCGACGGATCTCCATGTCGCGGTTCTCCGTGAACTTCGGACTCGCGGTGGCGATCGCCAACTGCAAGGGTGGGTTCTTGACGAGCGCAAAGCCTATCGTCAGCTGCCGATCGCGCCTCACCACCGCAAGTTCAGCGTCATCTGCTTGAAGGATCCTTCGGATGGCGTGCCCAAGTTCTTTGTGATGATTGGCCACTCCTTCGGGTTGGTCGCTGCAGTCTACAACTATAACCGCCGATCGGCGATGATCAACGACATCTTTGTGAAGTTGTTCAACATGGTCGCCTTCAACTTCTACGATGACAGGTACGGCTTCGAGACGGATCTCACCTCCCGATCGGCCAGGACAGTTGCCGAATGTGTTCACTTTTGGCTTGGAGCTCTCTTCGACGATAAGAAACTCCAGTTGTCGTTCTCTCCGGTGATCCTGGGGGTCACGTTCAATCTCGAGCTCCTCGTTCTGGAAATCAAAGATCAGCGGAGAAAGGAGCTCACGGAGATGATCGACGGCATCCTCGAGACGGGTTCCCTGGATCCAGGGACGGCCGGAAAGCTCAAAGGGAAGCTGATGTTTGGGGCGAGCCAGCTCTGGGGAAAGGTCGGTCGTGCTTTCTTTCGCCCTCTGTCGGAAAGACAGTACTCTAAGGATCGCTCGAGTGATCGCATGGAGCTCA